CTTTTGTTTAAAATTAAGCTGGCCATGCACCTATAGATATTATACAGATATAGATATATATTTTTTTCTAGTAGCATATGGTCAGATGGAAAAAGTGCAACAGATTCCTCCATCTATGCTAAACTGTGTGGAAGGCAGTTTCTCCAGCTGGGCCAAGCTCCAGTATCTTGCTAGTCGGCCCCGCTGACTCTCAAAATACCTGAACAATGCCTGCATCCAATTAGATTGGCTGCTAATTCGCTGCTGCTATTCGCTGGCTATAAAAATACCTAAACAATCTAATTGGATGCAGGCATTGTTCAGGTATTTTGAGAGACAGCGGGGCCGACTAGCAAGATGCTGAAGCTTGGCCCAGTGGGAGATTCCGCCTTCCACACAGTTTAGTGTAGATGGAGGAATCTGTTGCACTTTTTCCATCTGACCATAGAAAATCTGCAGATAATCTGGTGTATAGGTGTATGGCCAGCTTTAGGCTTTAAAAAAGACTTATGCTTGAAGAGGGTTGGATGACAGGGCTCTGTGTAGACTAGAGGTGAACAGGGAGCAGTAGTTTAAAACAGCAAGGATTAAAGTAGAATGCTACCGTGAATTGAGAATAAATCACAGCTGTGACCTGCTCTGCACAAGGTCCTGAGATAGTAAGTAGCTATGTTTAGTTCATACATACACATTAGCAGCCTGGCTTAGGCAGCGTAAAACTGTTTTTTGTCTTTATCTATGGTGCATTAGGCAACATGCTGTACTGCAAAAATATAAGTAAACAGATCCTGATGACAGACATTTTGGATTTAAGTTTAAATGTTTGTATTTTTTTCCCATTCTGTCACTGTATAGTTATGTTTAAAAACAAAATGAAGACCATATGTAATACTCTGCATATAGCAATGTAAAGCTAACATGGAGTGCATGAGCTGAGACGTTAAATCATTCTTCATAGTCATACAAATAGGATTTTTTTTCCCAGAAATTATTATTTGAAGTACGATGACCACATTGCTCTGAGTGGCATGGCAGCACATTTTGTTAACATGATTTAGCTAGTTATGTTAGTTTTAGATATATTTTTATGCAGTGTGGCATTTCTATGTCTGTAAATAGCCATCTCAACAACCTCTGTGCTTTTCTTTGTTACATTTTGAAGTGGCTAAAAACAAGAACACATAAAATAGAGTTGCTCAGAATTAAACAGCATTAAATTATGCTTGGAATGTGAGAATGGGATGCGAGTCCTGTTTGCTCTCTCTGTCCCCCAGGCACTATGTAAAATTACTGTCCACGTGTAACCTTAGAGGTTCTCAGGAATTAGAGAATTCCTAGATCAACACCTTTACGGAGACAAACATGCTAGTGGTATGTAAGTCATTCACATGTCAACAAATAAGAATTAAATATGAACTCTACTGAACTCTTTTTGTATCTAAATAATAATATAAAGAAACCCTGCTGTTATAGAAACAGCCCTTTCTGTGAAATATATTTGAGTGGCATATCTAGGCAAGCTAGAACCAGAAAAAGCTCAGTTTTTATGAGTGAATGGGAACTTCTTTCCTCCTTAGAGTAGAAAGACTGTCATCAATCACCATGATATATGGGATTGTGGGCATATGCACACACATTTGTAAATGTGTCTGGGCGCACATGCAGGGCTTCCTACACTGAAGCACAATTAGCAGGGATCTCAAGTCTCCCTGATGTTCAGGGAGTCTCCCTCTTTTGGACAGCAGCTCCCTGATGTCCGCGAGAGAGGCATTTTCTCCCTGAAAGGTTTACTCTGAGTAAACCTTTCCGATAAGATAACAGTGGGTACAGTTTCAGAGTGAGGCTTGCCTCCTGGAGGAAGGTCATGTGATCTCTAGAGTAGCCTCAGAGTGAGGTTTGCCTCCTGGAGGAAGGTCATGTGATCTCTAGAGTAGCCTCAGAGTGAGGTTTGCCTCCTGGAGGAAGGTCATGTGATCTCTTGAGTAGCCTCAGAACGAGGCTTGGCTCTCAGAAGGAAGAAGCTACTTGCTGCACAGAGAGGGCGGACATAGACTACTATTGAGAGCAGGTACAGGCACTGCTGCAGGGTTGAGAGAGTGCTGTTAACCCTTTGTGGATAATATAGAATTAATTATATGTCCTGGTTGTCTAGTTATAGAGAACATTTATTTAATTTGCTGCCCATAGCACCTAGTCAACTGTGTATCAGGGACTTTACTCCTCAGTGTTTTTTTAAAAAGGTCTCGGGCTGTCTAATAAATTGTGACCTTGACACTGACAGATACTTGAATATCAATTTACAAATCTGATGCATATATAAATAAATATATAATATTATTGTATTATTGGTATATGGATTTTGAATTACTCTGTGTGTATATAT